GTTCAAAATTATTCTGGGTTACATACTAATACCTTGTCTCCAGAGGAGACAAGAAATATAAATATTAAGCTTTTGAGTTTAGAATAAAAATTGTTAACGTATAACGGTAAATGAAAAGCAGACATAAAATAGTATCACAGACCGGGTTATGGTAGCACAAGCCTTAATCCTCCCAGCTCTCAGGAGGCAGAGGCAGGCATTTCTCCATGAGTGCAAAGTCAGCCTGGTCTGCAAAGTTCCTGGACAGCCATGGTGATTACACAGAGAACCCCTGTCTCCAGAAACTTTAAAAAAAAAAAATGGTATCACAGAATAGAGAAGACATACATATATTTTCTTTCAAAAAGACAGCACTTAGGTGGCTAAATCAAAATTTTCACCATTCGCTGAAAATAGGTTCCTTTGTTTGTTTTGTTGTTTTTGCTTTGAGACAGGGTTTCTCTCTGTAGCTCTAGCTGTCCTGTAACTCACTCTGTAGACCAGGTTGGCCTCGAACTCACATAATTCCACCTGCCTCTGCCTGCTGAGTGCTAGTATTAAAAACATACACCACTAGTGCCCAGCAATAGGTTCCAAATTTGAAATATAATTACAAAAATTATATTTCAATGAGGCTGGTATTATTAGTATTACTATTTGTTTTTTTTTTAATACAATGTCTCTCTACATAGCCCGGCTATCCTGGAAACACTATGTAGTCTAAGATGGTCTCAAACTAAGAGAATTGCCTAACTCTGGCTCCTGAGTGCTATGATTAAAGGAACGCAGCATCATGCCCAGTCTAGAAGCTGGTATTTAAAAATTAAGGAGGCTGGGGATGCTCAGAAGTAGACCACTTGCTTGGCACACACAAGGTCCTGTATTCAATCCCCAGCACAACCCAACACTTTAAAATTTTTTACATCCATCTATACACACGCACAACTCAGGTAGCTAAGATTAGTAGTTTACACCTGTAATTCCAGAATGCATGTACTCCTAAAACTAAGGACGCTAAAGTCAGCCAGGACTACAGAGTGCATTATGGCTGCAGAAAGGTTTAGGATGGCCAGAACTAGAGCAAAAGCAAGCAATAATATTTTGTTGTGCAATAGTACCACCATAGTAGGAAGACTGGGAACACATACTAGGGCAAACTTGACTGCTCTGGAAGGATAACTACAGATATACAAAGAAAAAATGAACCATGGCACTACACTTTAAACTGACTCAAGAAATGACCACAATTGGACCTAAAAGTCCTACATGTTCACTAAAGAAAATATTGAAGATATTAAAAATAAAATATCTTTTATTTTTAGACCCTATTCCTTAAAGAACCTGTAGTTGTACATGTTTAAACACATTTCTGTTTAAGATTTATTTATTTCGTATAGAGAAAAACATGTACATAAAAGGCAGAGGATAACTTCCGAGAAGTCATTTCTCCCCTTCCTCCTTGTTTTGAGGCAGTGTCTCTGATCTCACTTTAGGATAGTAGGGATTAAAGATGTTATACCATTGCATCCAGCTTTTTGCATAGGTTCTATTAAGGCAGTGGTTCTCAAACCACTATGACCCTATGGGAATGGAACAACCCTTTCACAGGGGTTACATATCAGATATCCTGCATAGTGGTATGATTCATAACAGAAGCAAAATTAGTTATGAAGTAGCAATAAAACAATTTAATGGTTGTAGGTCACAACATGAGAATTATATTACAGGGTCTCAGCATTAGGAGGGTTGAGAACAAATTCAGGCTTTGTTTGTAGCACGAGTAATAAAAATCCAGAGACAGATACTGGGGTTCAAGGTGAAGATCAGAAAAGCAGAACAGTCATGACACTATAGAAGTCTCACCCTTACCAATGCTGGGTGACTGCAGACTTAAATTCCCCTTTAGTGCTGGGATTAAAGACATGTGACTCCCTAGTACTGGGATTAAAGGTGTGTGGTACCACTGCCTGGCCTCTAGTGGCTTAGTTTTACCCTCTGAGCTTCAGACAAGCTTTGTTTATTAAAAGATAAATAAAATAACACTATATTTTGAGCTAGTGCATTTAGCAGTCAAGTCATTTACCTAGTTCCTAGCTTTGAGACAGGGTCTCACACTAGGCCAGGGTGGCCTCAAACCTGAGGCAATCCTCCTGCCTCAGCCTCGTCACTGGGTTACAGGCCTGAACATGCTCTTTGAACTAGCAAGTGCTCAAATTACACCCTCTGACCTGAACAAATATTCATATGTTTAAGTATTTTTAAAAACAAGTTCTACTCAAGGGAAAATCCAAAATAAGTACCCAAAGGCATTTATCTTGGTAAATTAAGAACTGACATAAACATTCTTGAGTAACTGTTAATTATCAGCACATCTGAATTGTACAGAATTTATAAACCACAATAAATCACGGCCATTTCACCTATTGGCTCTTCTGCTACACACCAGTAGAAATTCCCCCAAGCAACTCCTTTAAGACTTGGGCTGTGATCTTATTTTGCTATAACAAAACTCAAGGACATTTCAGTTTGAGTTTCTTGATTTAGAAAATAAAAGTTTGGGGGCTGGAGAAATGGCTCAGATGTTAAGAGCACTGGCTGCTCTTCCAGAGGTCCTGAGTTCAGTTCCCAGAATTCATCTGTAATGAAATCTGGTGCCCACTTCTGGTGTGCAAGCATACATGCAGGCAGAACACTGTATACACAAGCTTTAAAAAAAAGTAAAGAGAAGTTTTACTACAAATCTGTGTTACCTTTCAGCACTGACGCTCCATGAAATATACTTTACACATTCATGTGGCAAACACACCCAGGTATACAGAGTATAGCTAAATAGACATGAATTCAAAGTCCCGTTGGCTTCAGTGAGTTACTTGCCTGGCATTGGGGAATTATCTACCCTTACAGACCTCTTTTCCCACTATGAGGAGAGAATAAAAATATAAATAATGTACTAAAAGTGACTACCATGGTGCCAGGCGGTGGTAGTGCACACCTTTATTCCCAGCACTGGGGAGGCAGAGACAGGTGGATCTCTGTGAGTTCAAGGCCAGCCTAGAGTGAGTTACAGGACAGGCTCCAAAGCTACAGAGAAACCCTGTTTAGAAATGAATGAATAAATAAATAGATGTGGTGACTGCAATGGCAAGCCCTCAGTTAATAACTTGCTACAACTAAGCAACAAGCTTTCCCTCTTGACAATTTTCTATCTTAATAGTTTTTGACCGTTTCTGGAAAAAAAAAATCAATGACTAGACAAGAATGTATATTGTAACAAACCAGCAGGTAATTTCATTCAAATACATTCCCCACCACCTTGTAAGACTGTAGGCAGGGTAACAATTTACAACTGGCAAACACTGTATCCAATGATTACTGTTGTAGAGGTACCCTGTGTACTCCACTTGTACTCAGAGTGTGTGAAATGTGCCGAACATAATGTGCTCAGGATGTCCATAAACAAACACAGTATTTGCTCCCAGTCTTAATTAGGAATAACATTGCTACCATGAAACACCAGGACCAAAGCAACCTAGAGAGGAAAGGCTTCACTTCACTCAGTTTCATATAAAGTTTTTCATCAAAATCACTGAGGACAGGAACTCAAGCAGGGAAGGAACCTGGAGGCAGGAGCTGATGCAGAGGCTGTGGAGGGGAGAAGCTTATTATTATTAGCTTGCTCCCCGTGGCTTGCTCAGTCTGCATTCTTACTGAACCCCGGCCACCAGGCCTGAGACGGCACCACCCACAATCACTCTCCCAGCAATCACTAATTAAGAGTGTGCCCAACAGACCTGCCTACAGCCCTATCTAGTAAGGAAGGCGTTTTCGTGGTTGAGGTTTCCTCCTCTGGGATTGATTTTAGTTTGTGTGACGTTGACATAAAACTATTATACACACTCCCTCTCCCCACAAAAAAAAAAAAAAAAAAAGGGAGCCTCTCTCCTTTTGCTAGTGGATACTAAAGAAATTTTTCCTATTAATGTTTCCACTTCTTTACCATCCAAACCAACGTTCTCTTTCTGGGGGCGGGGAGGGAGGGTTGAGACAGGATTTCTCTGTGTAGCCCTGGTAGTCCTAGAACTCTCTCTGTACTCCAGGCTGTCCTCGAACTCAGAGATTTACGTGCCTCTGTGCCGCCGGAGTGCTGGGATTAAAGGTGTGCCACCACCGCTCATCTTAACAGTAACTATCAATATATTCCATTTCCACTTTCTGCTTAGCAAAATTAATAGAAGACGAATGCAAGATATTTTTTCAATCAAGGAACACATGACAACACAGTCAGACATTTACTATATGTAAAATATCACAAAGCAAAACAGCCCAACTCAAGTCTCCAGTGGAGAAAAAGCAGCCAAAGACTCATTAACACTCTCACATCACATCAAATACAACAGTTGCAGGTTTCCGATTCGTCAACCCGGGCACTTGTTCCCTACTAGAAGGACTCTTTTGCACACTAAGAAGATGTAGAAAGCAGCATTTGGTCAGATGCTGTGGCACACACAAGTAATCCCACCTCTTGGAAGGAGACAACAGGAGTTCAAGGTCATCCTCCCTACACTGGGAAGGTTCAAAGCTTGCCCGGAATAAAAGAGACCCTATCTCAAAGAGGCTGAGGGAGGGGGGGGGTAATCACTTTTGCAGTAAACTTATTCTAACTTGCTTAAATTAAGAAACCCCTTCGTCTTAAGTTTCAAAACCCTTTCTTTTAAAGTCATCTTTTTACTGGACCTTTCTCCACAAGAAAATTAACTCCAGCTAGTCCCTACGTCCCCACTGGGGTGCCTGGCAACACCTCCAGGGCAGTCTAGAACGTGCGTCTGCCAGTCTGACCGTGTCCACAGGGTGGAACGATAGTTTTCCTCAATACGAAACGCAGAGATGAACCTAGAGGTTGCAGGAATGCTAAGCCCAAAGCACCGCCCACACGGAACATCAACCTAAGGAAGTTCCTCGGAGATACAGGGGGGCTGCCCGGTCCCCGAGTCACCTCTGGCGAGCAGAGGTGATAAACATACCTGGAGGCAGCTGCAAATTAGCAGGCAGCTGGATTGTCGTGGTGCCCGGAGTTTTCACGGTGACTATCTGAGGAGCTGGCAGCCGGGGGCTGCCGAGTTTAGGAAGAGCCGTGACAGGAACCACTTTGGTCACTAGCGTCCCCACTGGGGATGGCAAGGGCTGGGGCGCCACGGACTCCACGCAGACACTGCCAGGAGGAGCCTTAGTCACAGGACCCAGGGCCCCCGGGGTGCTCTCCACCCGCACGGGCAGCGCGGCGGCCGGGGCCATGCTCACGGTCCCCGAGGCGCTCGCGACCACCGGAGCAGCGGCGCCCGGCGGCTCCGTGAGGCCCGCTGGCATGCCCTCGGGGACTCAGCGGCAGCGGCGCTGCCCTTCCCGGAGCTGAGGCAAGGCGAGCCGGGGCAGGCGGCAACGCAGTCGGGCGCAGTCCGGGCGCCGCAGCATCGCGGGGCACACGCGCGCTCCTGGCCCGGCCGGCGGCGACCCCGCCGGGCACTCCCTCCTCCAGCGGCGCCCACACGTGCGCGCCTCAGCCCCGGTCCCGCCGCAGAAGCGCCCGGACGGGCAGCTCCCTCGGGCCGTCACTTCAGTTCCCACCCGGGGAGCTTTCACTCAGCGCTTCCCCCGCCAAAAATTTCAAAGCCTTACAGACCCGCAGCGTCCAGCAGCGCCCCACACACGCTCCGCGCCGGCCGCGGCGCCGCGCTGCCAGCCATGTTTATATAGCCACGCGGAGCCCGTGCGCACGCGCCCTGGTGGCCCCCGCCGGCCGGGGCTTCCCTGCTATCCGGCCTTCTGATTGGCCGGCGAGAGGACTCGCGCTCGTGACGTTACGAGGGCCGGCTCGGGGAGTGGCTCGGACTCTGCCTCCGCTGCGAGCGCTGAGGCGCAGGGTCCGGGAAGTTATCACGTGCGGGGCGAGCTGCGGCGGCGGAGCTGCGACCCGGCGTCCCCGCGGGGTGCCCGGGCTGTCGCCTCGGAGCGCCTCCGCCCGCCGTCCCCAGGACGCGACACTGTAGGAGATGAGTGCAGAGAACTGATTCTGCAGAAGGCAGAATTCAGGAACTCAATCCCGCTTTGGGTTTGTCTGGTTCCTGTTTATTCGGCATCACTGAAAAGCCTTCCAAAATTTTCTCATTCCTGTTGACCGTGTAAAAATCAGAACCGTGTATAATTTTATCGTCTTTAAAAATATATTGCCGGGCGGTGATGACACACGCCTTTAATCCCAGCACTCGGGAGGCAGAGGCAGGTGGATATCTGAGTTCCAGGCCAGCCTGGTCTACAAGAGCTAATTTCAGGACAGTCTTCAAAGCTTCAAAGAAACCTGTCTTGAAAAACCAAATTTAAAATATATTTGTGAGATATTACTTTAGACTTGAAATACCTAAAACAAACTGGTTTATATAAACTCCTCAACAGTTTATATGTCTCTGTTAGTGTATTTGTTCCTTTTTTGAATTTTTTTGAGTTTTTTGGTTTGGTTTTTGTTTTGTATTTTTAGATGGGGCTTCCCTGTTTAGCCTGGTTAGCCTGGGACTCAGCTGCTTACCTCTGCCTCCCCAGTTCCTCTCCACCTGGAATTGTCTGTTAGACTCTCCCACTGTCTTTGAGGATGTTCCCAAACTCATTACGTGAGCATTCTGGCCTTGAACGTGTGCTGCTCCTTCTGTGTCAGTTCCCTCAATGCTGACCATTTCCTAGGTTATTTAAATTCTTTATGTGACAAATTCTGGGAAATTGGGACAGGACTTCGGGTTCTTCGTCTACAAATTCCAGCTCTAAGATCCTAAGTGCCTTACCGAAGCTGTTCACAGTCCCTTAGAAACGTTCTCCAGGACGTAGCAGGGGAAGATGCCGTTACTGCCTACCTGTCACGGGATCGTTTTGTAGCGATTTACACTAACTGTACTGAGGGAAATTTTGCATATATACAGGTGCTTAGCTCAGAGAGGGTTTCCTGCAGATAAATATGTGGAAATTGTAAAGGTATTACGAAATAGGGCCTCTGGCACATGATTAAATCATGAAGCTCTTATTAAAAGATAACCTCGCCCTACAAAATTAGCAAGTATGTATTTCTGGTAACATGATTTAAGCGCGCATGACACAGCACTTCATAACCTACAGATATGCAAATAGTACTTGTTGCAGTAAGGTGTGGGGATACCCACCTATGTTTTAACCTATCAGGGCCAAGCAGTTTGTTACTTAACCAATGAAATCAGCAGATTGATATATGACACTCCCACATCAGTCTTCAATGCTCTTTTGCACTAGACAACCAATTGGTGTGCTTGTCCCTGGGGAGGGACACTCCTCCAGTTCCCAGTTTTACTCAGTTGCCTGAAGTTCTTTGTGTAGACTTGAGGCCTAATGGGCTTTTCCTTGTCCACTTTCTGTTCTAACGTGCATTGCCAACCCCAAATTATCTTTTTATATCTTCCAACTTTATATACTTTACACCTCTTAAGTGAATTTGTTTTCAGAATCTGGTAACAAAAAAAAAAAGTAACTATAATTATCATGTCAATTACCTCAGAGACCGAAGGAGATAATAGTAACTGAGTAAGCAGGAAGTGCAAACAAGTGGCATGCAAAAAAAAAAAAATGAAAAATGTGAGATAAGACAGAAACATCTGGCTGCCTGGACAGTCACCCAAGGTTCCTCTTCAGTCTACAGGCCTAGCTTACCTGACAGACTTTTCTGTGAAGTAGGATATTCCTCCCTTGTGTTGGCAAAATTCAATAGTCCTTTCTTTTATGTCCTACTTGTCCAATTTGGACAGCATACTGTCAGCAGTTGAGGCAAGGGTACTTTCTTGCCCAGTGGCTAACTCTTGCAACAAAGAAAGTAAACTCCATGTGAAGTTTCTTCGATGTTTATCGTCTTCTCTGAATTATGTTGGTGCTGCCAGGAGCACACATGTCTCCTTGTCATTGAAAAAAGAAAGAAAGAAAAGGACCTGTGTTATTAAAACATCTTAAATGCCATATTCTGTAGCTCTCTGAAGTGTTTGAAGACTTTCTATTTAAAATATATCTGTTTGACCTTAATAACATACCTAGTATGTTGGATTGTAATGACTAACTACTAACTTGCATTTCTTTATATCATAATTACTCGGTAATAACTTTCAAGGACTAGAAATTTACATTACATTGTTAAATGAGCTGTATAGGCACAATGCCTTGAACAAGGTTAGATATGTATGTATAGTATGTCCTAACAAAAATAACCATAAATTTGTATCAATATGCAAAAATCTGTATCAATGTAAAATATTTAAAACTAGCAGTGGCCTTTTCTGGTTTAAAAGTAGATTCAATAATCTGTCTTTTTCTCCTATTTCTATATTACCCTTTTTTATTTTTAGAGTAGATTCAATGATCCTTATATCCTATCATATCTATATATTTTGGCCCTTTACAGCTGAGGCATTAGCAAGGTTAAGAGTTGGCTGTGGCTTGTTCATTTCTCTCTCAGATCTTTTAGCATTTGCCCCATACCTGGCTCCAGGTTTTTCTTATTAGGACCAATTAGAACTTATGCAACAATTGGTGCCCTACATGAGGCAAGTACATCCAAATAAAATCTGAGAGAGCCTGGGAAGGAATTCTAGACACAAAAGAACAGAGTCAAGCACAGCTTCTTGGTAGCAGCATTTTCTCATGTGGGCTCTGTTTGCTAGAGGCAAACAGAAGTAAGGCTCCTTTAAGAGAGGCTTTCTGACTCAGCATTAGTGGTAAAATCCATGCAGCTATTTTAAGAAGCCCTGTTACCAAACACTTCAATGGTGTTTATGAGCAGCCCACAGCATGCTTCTTGTTAGTAGCATGAACCTAGAAACTTCACCGAGTTGTAGCAATAAACATGAGTCTCACCAGTACCCCCACCATAAAGGTAGAAACTCAGGAAGTCAAGAGTGGGGTGGAGCCAGCTGGTAAAGCCACCACTTTAATCCTAGTCATTCCACATAGCAGATTAAAGATTCATGTTGTTATAAAAAGATAGAGATATACAATGATGACAGATTCAGATAAAAAAAATCCTCTAAAAGGTTTACAGTATATATATAGTATGTGTTTTATCTATATATGTGTATATATATATACATACAAACAGACATACATATATTATGGGAGAAAAGAAAAAGGATGGAGGAAATCTTTAAAAAAGAAATAGAAGCAAGGCAGTGGTGGTGCATGCCTTTAATCCCAGCACTTGGGAGATAGAGGCAGCCTGATTTCTGTGAGTTCTAGACCTACCTGTCTATAAAGCTAGTTCCAGGGCAGCTAGACTATTGCACAGAGAAACCTTGTCTTGAAAAACCAAAAAGAAAAAAAAAAACAGAGTAACAAACAAAGAAAGAAAAAAAACAAACATACAGATGGAAAATACACAGAGAGTCTGGACACTGTATGTTATTGTGTTTTCTTTGAATTGTTTGACTGATGAGGAAGCAGCAACAGTTGCTAAAAGACATTTGATTATAAATGCCACTGGATTAAACCAACCTATATATTTAAAAAATACCTTGACCTCAAATTTTAAGTCAAAAGATGTTACTTTGGGAAAGAGGTTATGCTCTTATTTTCACAGGAAATGAAAGGCTGTGGATTTATTCTGGGTTGAGAAAAATTAGGTTTGATAGAGTAAGACCCCCTAAAAAAATCTCAGATAGGAGCAGATGGCCCAGATAAGCCAATGTCTCAAAGCTCCTATGTTGCTGTTTACTCTGATTTCTATATCTAGAACACTTTCAAGGTGACTGGTTGAAGTAATCCAGCCTTGCAGAATATTATAGTCAGGGTTTGACCATAATCCTAAATTTTCTCAGGGTCCCCCAAAGATTACCAGAAACCCTTAATGAACAGAAAGTAGCCTAGGAAACTACATTATGGATGTTTGTTTAAAGTGTTGGTTAAAGGTAATTATGGATAATGTTCAGGAAAAAAATAAACAAAGGAGATTAGATTCAGGGTTCTTGTTTTAAAAAGAAAAATATTGGGAAATGTTGTGGGATAATGCTTTGTACATTGTAAAAATTTGTCACTCATATTGGTTTAATAAAATGCTGATTGACCAGTAGTCAGACAGGAAGTATAAGCAGCACAACCAGTCTAGAAAAACCTGGGAAGAGGAAAAGCAGAGAGTAAATTACCAACCAGATGCAGAGGAAGGAAGATAAGAATGCCTTACTGAGAAAAGGTACCAAGCTACATGGCTAAATATAGATAATAATTATGGGTTAATTTAAGTTGTAAGAGCTAGTTAGTAATAAGCCTGAGCAATAGACCAAATATAAGCCTGTGTGTGTTTATTTGAGACTGAATGGCTGCAGGACCAGGAAGGACAGGAACTTTTGTCTACAGGTGTGTCTTTCATTAGGCTGAGAAAGTTTTCTTTTATAATTTTATTGAAGATCTGGCCCATGCCATTGATTTGTGATTCTTCTCTCTTATCTGTGCCTATAATTCAAAGGTTTGGCTTTTGTTTTGTTTTTAATTTCCTGTGTCTTCCTTTCCTATGTATTTAAAATTATTTCCTGCTTATCACTCATTTGGTCTAGACTCTCTATTTCTCTTTGAAACCAGATATTCTGTCTTCTGATTGGTAGATCTTACTTGTCAGGCTTTCCTTTGAGTTTTCTAGTTAGGCTATTGGTGGTCCAACTTCACCTTTTTTTCTGCTTGAGTCCACTGCAA